ACCTTACAATCCCTGACTGGGATCTCTGAGATCCATTTATATACTTAGTAAAAGGGGAAGCGAGATGCCAGGGAGGGAGAGCAGCCCAGGAGGGTGAAAGCTTGTCTGGAAAATGCACTTTACAGAGGAACTTTGCTTCTTGGAGCCATTGGTTGTGTTGTTCCTTCTCAGGCTGACGAGCCTGCGCCTGTGGGGAGTTACAGTCAGAGGAAAGAAGAAGAAGAAAAGCTGTTGCAAAATCTCGCTCAGCAGTTGCAGAATCTTGTTCTTGTCTTGGATCAGGATAACACGACAAAGAAGTCCTCAGTGTAAGTAGCTTAAAGAAACAGACTTTGTGCTTCTGTAGAATTGTATGTGTACAGTTGGAAAGGTCCCTGAGAACTTGTTACTTCATCCCCTTTTAACATACAGTTAAGGAAGAAGTGCTCATGAGGTGACTCGTGGGGTTTGTTCTCTTGATGCAGCCGTGAATGACTGGTGGAATTCTCTGAGGGTGTTGGTTCATGGCTGAAATAGTGTGGCTGTTGAGGGGAGAGGATGCAGCGTGGTCACAGAACCATGGAATCAACCAGGCTGGAAAAGCCCTTTCAGCTCATCCAGTCCAACCGTTCCCAGCACTGCCAAGGCCACCACTAACCCCTGGCACTGAGGCCTCGGCTCCACGGGCTGTGAACACTTGCAGGGACGGTGACTCCAGCCCTGCCCTGGGCAGCCTGTTCCAATGCCTGAGCACCCTCTGGGCAAGGAATTGTTCCTCAGCTCCAGCTAAACCTGCCCTGGGGCAGCTTGAGGCCGGTTCCTCTTGTGCCATCCCTTGTTCCTTGGGAGCAGAGACCAGCCCCCTCCTGGCTCCATCCTCCTGTCAGGCAGTTACAGAGAGCGAACAGGTCCCCCCTGAGCCCTCTCTTCTCCACACTAAACCCCCAGGTCCCTCAGCCCTTCCTCATCACACTTGTGGTCTGTACACTTAGGGAGGGAACACCACTGGGATTTGGGAGTTTTTTCAGATCAGGACAGAGAGTACAATACAGGAATGCAAATTCTGGATGTGGATAATGCAGAGGAGCCCATATCCCAAGGATCTATAGTAATTCCAACAAGTTCTGTTAAAATAATAATAAAGTTTGATTTATTTTGGTAGGGATAAGCACCATCGGAAGGGTCCTCACCCAGAAGATGAAAATGAAGAAGAGGATGAGAGTGAAGATGAAAAAAGCAGTGAGGAGAAGGACAGTGAGGAAGCAGATGATGATGATGATGAGGATGAATTGCTGGATGATCCAAACGTTAAAGAATGTATCGCAGTTGGGAGCTTTGATGCACAGCAGGAAGGGGACCTCACATTCACGGTAAATGTGGCTCTGTAAATGTTGCTGGACTGCAGACAGCTCTTTGTTAAGCAATAACTATAATTAAATCTCATGCTTCTGGGATTCAGCCAGTTCATTCTGGGATTTGGGAGCAACAGCCTGGGGGGATCCAGTGTCCTTTTGCCACCTCCTGCAGTGGTGGGTCTGTCATGATAGTCTGTGACCTCTGTTGTAGGAAAACTTAAGCTTTTGTGTTGTTACTTTTAATTGTGCCTGGAGCTGTTGCGAAATACTTGGTTGCCTTTTGTCTCTGTCTCCTTTTGGTGGCAAGAAAGGGGAAATCCTGCTCATACATGACAAGAGGGCAGATGGCTGGTGGGTAGCTGAGAACTCCAGAGGGGAGAGAGGCCTCGTCCCTAGAACCTATCTCGCGGTGAGTGTGCTGCAGCCTCCTTCTGCCCCAGGCTCAGTCTGTTATTATATATGTATTAATGATAATACAGCTGCATACAAGTGATCACAGTGCTTACCTGGGGGGACAGAGCAGAGTTTCACCAGTTATTTGGAACTAACACCATGTTTGTATCCGTATGTGTGGAGGCAGCTGCCAAAAGCAGCATTTTTGTGCCTTGTGAAGATGGGACATACAAGTGCAGAGATGTTTCTTGAATATGAAGGTCATGATCTTTGTCACTAAAGGTCAGCTCTGAAGACTCCAAGGTGCTAATTGGACTTTTTCTACTTTATATGGACTAATTTGGACTTTTCCTAATTTATATGAAATGCGATTCCATGTAAATGTAAATGTTGGGAGTATTTTGTAATTCCAGACAGAAGAATCTTTTAAAAATGGATTTTAAAGCTTTGTAACTTGCTAGGTTATGTATTTATGCACGTATATATCTGGTGTACAGCTGTGATGAACATTTGAATGTGGGTACACAGTTTAGATTGAGTGATCAGATGGAACAGAGCTCTTCACAATATAACTAAAGAGCATGTTGACTTCATGATGCTGATGTATTTCTCTTTAAAGAATCCACATCACAGACAGAAAATCTCCTCTTCTGAACTGTTAATATGTGCTATGGTTGGAGAAAGCATTTTTAAGAGCAGAACTGTGAAGAAATCAAGCCCTTTGCCATTTTGAATGTGAATTGCAGGTCCATAAGGAAGATGACGAAAGCCAAGAGCAAAGTGAAGAACACGTAGAAGTGGTGGATGAAACAGCAGATGGAACTGAAATCAAAAAAAGGTAAATGGGGTGATGTGACAGCAAATAAGTACAAAATTCTTCTTCCCCTTCCTTGAACCTGGTGGTACGTTTCTTATAGTGAGAATACATCATAGGCTATTTGGTTCTTTGCACTTCCCCTGTCAGCACAGCAGTCACTTGCTCTGTTATCAGTGAGCAGACACACTTGTACTTGACTGGGTTCGTTGGGCAGTTTTGCTTTGCTTTGCCCTTTGATTATGTTTTTCCCCCTCATAAAATCAAAATATGGCTGGCTCCTGTATCCAGCGCATGAGACAGTCCAGCAGTTAGTTAGTCCTGGTGGCTGGAAATGTCCATTAGTAGTATCTCAGATGTGGTTATTAAGCTGCTGCTGTTTGAAAATGAACTAGTATTTAGTGTTTAGATTTTTATCTATTTGAGGATGATGTGTTACCAAAAGTATCTTTTCTCCCAGAACAGACTCTCACTGGAGTGCTTTAAGAAGAGCTGTCACAGAGGTGGGTGTACCTCTTGCGTGGCAACTTCATCTAACGTAAAGTTAATTATTTTTAGACAAGGTTTGCCTTTACCTGTTACACTGTTTCTAATACTAGACCATTGTTTTTAGTTAACATCCTCTATTTTGTGGTTTTGTAGCAGGAAACGCTACAGAAATGTCTCTAACTTCAGAAACAGGCTGCAGGCCAGCCTATGTGTCTGAATGACCATGCGAAGAAGATGCCTTTGGTTGTTTTGCCACAGCAGTACTAAACTAGTTCTTTCTCAAGGGGCTGATTTTATTCTGTAACTGGCTGTTCTGCTGCTTTGAAATGGAAGGGGATTTAACAAACAGGAGCCTGGCTGGGTTCATACCTGAGGCTGGGCCAGAGCAGCTTCATAGAATCACAGACTGGTTTGTGTTGGAAGGGACCATAAAGCTCCTCCAGCTCCAACCCCTGCCACAGGCAGGGGCCACCTCCCAATAAGACGGGGTCTCCAAG